AGGGCAGAGAGTACAGTCTTCTAACACATTTTGAACTTTACTGTATGATAAAAGTAGCATTTCTGTGGGGAAAAGACAAATTATTCAAAACAGTATTGGGGCAAGTGGCTAGCTATTCTAAAAAACAAAAGGATGAATTCCAACTTCATTTCTTGAACCAAAATAAATTGGAGGCATTTTTAAATACTGGGAAGAACACAAACAAGTTTCTATGTGATCTTGGAATGAAAAATATTTCTGAATCCACATACATACATACACATACATGTTCCCACATCCATATTTCCTTATAAACAAACAAACAAAAAAAGTTTAAAAGGTTTGAAAAAAGGTTAAAGGGTTTGGAAGGATATCCACCAAAATTGACAGTAGTTATTTTTAGAGCTTGGAATTGGAGGACAATAAAGTGACACAGTTTCTCTCTTTCTCTGTGTGTGTGTGTACACATATATACTCAGTCATAAGTCACTCAAAGACAGGCATATGTTCTGAGAAATGTGTTGTTAGGCGATTTTGTCATGCGAACATCACAGAGTGTACTTACACAAATCCAGGTGGTCTAGCCTACTACGCACTCAGGCCATATGGTATAGCCTATTGCCCAAACTTGGACAGCATGTTACTGTAGACTATAGGCAACTGTAGCACAATGGTAAGCATTTGTGTATGTAAACATACCTAAATATAGAAAAGATACAGTAAAAATAAAGTATTATAATCTTATGGGACCATTATTGTATATACTGTCTACTGTTGACCAAAACATTATTATATGGTGCATGATTGTATACATACACACACACACACACATATATATAAATACATATTTTATATACAGCTATTTCTTAACCAAACATGGGGCTAGGTCCCAATAAACCCATGGTAAGTTGTTAAGTCAAAAATGCATTTAAGGCCGGGCGCTGTGGCTCACGCCTGTAATCCTAGCTCTTGGGAGGCCGAGGCGGGCGGATTGCTCAAGGTCAGGAGTTCAAAACCAGCCTGAGCAAGAGCGAGACCCCGTCTCTACTATAAATAGAAAGAAATTAATTGGCCAACTGATATATATATAAAAAATTAGCCGGGCATGGTGGCGCATGCCTGTAGTCCCAGCTACTTGGGAGGCTGAGGCAGAAGGATCACTCAAGCCTAGGAGTTTGAGGTTGCTGTGAGCTAGGCTGACGCCACGGCACTCACTCTAGCCTGGGCAACAAAGCGAGACTCTGTCTCCAAAAAAAAAAAAAAAAAAAAGCATTTAATACCCTGATAAATCCATCATAAGGTAAAAAAAATTATAAGTTGGGGACCATCTCTATAACATATTTAATATACTATACATGTAGGTATTTGTTAGTTATTAGTTGATTTTTTTTTTACAGAGATGATATATAGAATTAAAATACATTTTTAAAACTCAAGATTGGTTAAGAGTTTGAAGGAATGCACTTGCTTGCTCTAAATAAAGGTTTTTGGCCCAAATAAATCTTATCCAGGGTCTTGAAGGAATGTGAAAAATATCTGAATCACAGTCAAGGAAAGGGAAGATTTTATGGGTCAGGTATTATTCTGGTTTTTGTTTACTTATTTATTTTTTTAAGAGACAGTCTCAGTTAGTTGCCTGGGCTAGAGTGTAGTGACATCATTATAGCCCACTGCAACCTCAAACTCCTGGGCTCAAACGATCCTTCTGTCTCAGCCTCCTGAGTAGCTGGGACCACAGGTGTGTGCCACTGCACCTGGCCTATTCTGGTTATTAAAATAATGATGGGGGGCCATGGAAGGAAGCAATCATTACTAAAAGGAAGGATCACCTATTCAAAATGTTGTTGGTTATGGAGAAGAGGACGGAACTCTGAATGGGTCAGTGGACTGGTCTTGCATCTAAGTTGTGCCACTTACTACCTTTGTGATGCTGGACAAGTTACCTAACCTCCCTGAGCCTCAGTCTCCTTGTCTCCACAGCATGGGGTTGTGAGAACATTAAGTATAGTGAGATTAAAAATACATCCAGGGCCAGGTGCGGTGGCTCACGCCTGTAATCCTAGCACTCTGGGAGGCCGAGGTGGGAGGATCCCTTGCGCTCAGGAGTTTGAGACAAGCTTGAGCAAGAGTGAGACTCTCTTTAGTAGAGACCCCGTCTCTACTAAAAAAAAGTAGAAAAAATTAGCCGGGCATGGTGGCACATGCCTGTAGTCCCAGCTACTTGGGAGGCTGAGGCAGAAGAATCCTCAAGCCCAGGAGTTTCAGGTTGCAATGAGCTAGGCTGACACCACTGAACTCTAGCTAGGGTGACAGAGCAAGACTCTGTCTCAAAAAAAAAAAAAAAAAAAAAGCATCCAAACAGTAAAATGTTGTGCACAGGTAAAGAACAATTATTCTTTCATAGAATTACTAGATTGGTTAATCAGAGAAAAGTGGTAGATATAATACATCCACACTTCAACAAAACATTTGACATTTTCTATGATTGTATCCTTCAGGAAATGTTGGAAAATATGACTTGGATGCCAGGATAATTACATGGATTAGGGACTCACTGAATGACTGTGTCTAGGGCAGCGTGGGGAAGGCAAGAAGCACGGGGGGGGGGGCAGCTCTGATGGGTGGTGATGGGAATTGCTGGCAGGCAAGAGACGGGGATGCAGGGTCAGGCTGGCAGCTGAAGGTGGACACTTGGGGAGCTGAAATGGAAGTAGTAGCCCAAAGGGGAGAAATAGAGGCCAAGGTTAGACCGAAGCCACCAGAGTGAAGATGGAGATGAGTACTCCCCTAACTCACATACTTCCTGCAGATGCAGGATCCAGAGGAACACAGGGGAGTGACAGCAGGAGGGGGTCTGCACTGCACATCAATGAACCCCCAAAGAACCAAGGGTGGTAACTGGAAATAGAACTAACCCAGATGCCATGGCAATGGTTTGATCTGCACAGAGATCCAGAATCAGGATGCACACATGCCTTCGTGTGTGTGTGTGTGTGTGTGTGTGTGTGTGTGTGTGTGTGTGTGGTGTATTAGGTGGGAGGTGTGGAGGAAGGGAGTTCTGTCTGCAAAGGCAGCTGCCCAGAGCTGGGATGAACTTGCTCATTTCATGCCCAAAGTCAGTAACAAGAGAGGTGTGAAGAGAATTCCACTTCTTTATTTTTAAAATTAATTTTAAATTTACAATTGACATTTCATGTTGTTTTCAAGTTCTCACACAGAAGTGAGGCCAGGAAAATCTGAACTTTATAGCTGTGGAATAGAGGAAAGAAAGCCTTGACTGTGGGCACACCAGTGTCCTTAGCCAGAAAGTGGCCTTTGTTAGGAATTAATAGTGCAGTAAAAAAAACACAACCCACAAACAACTTCTGTTTGAAGACACAAACAAGTGTGTTCTCCCACACAAATACCCCATATATAGCCATCAAAGAAACTCACGTCCACAAACACACATGTGCTCTCAGGAGCTCCCTGCATGAATGGGTGCATAACACCCGTGTCAGGAGGAAATGACTCCTTGTGTGACTGTGTATGGTCTCCAACTGTAAAGACCTCTGTAAATGTATTTATTATGTTGTTGTTGTTGTGTTTTCTTTTGAAGACAGAGTCTCACTCTGTTGCCTGGGCTAGAGTGCCATGGTGTTAGCCTAGCTCACAGCAACCTCAAACTCCTGGGCTCAAGCAATCCTACTTAGCCTCCCAAGTAGCTAAGACTACAGGCATGTGCCACCATGCCCAGCTCATTTTTTCTATATATTTTTAGTTGGCCAATTGATTTCTTTCAATTTTTTAGTAGAGACGGGGTCTCGCTCTTGCTCAGGCTGTTTTCGAACTCCTGACCTTGAGTGATCCTCCCCACCCCCCTCAGCCTCCCAGAGTGCTAGGATTACAGGCATGAGCTACCACAGGCATGAGCCACCACGCCCTGCCTAGTAAATGTATTCAAATGATGTTTAAATGTGTGCTTCCCTCTCCATCCCCATCCCCTGGGGGAAAGATGGGCCACAGCCAAGGACGTGTGTTATCTGGAGGAAAGAGAAAGGCTGAGCTGGCCGGGTTGTAAATCGGGGTGTTGAACTGTACCGAACAAGGGCTCTCAAAACCTGACTTCACTTAGTGGAGCTGCGCGCAGTGACATTATAGTCACTCAGCCATGAGTAACTCTAAGGTTCCGCCCTCCCCTCAGCACATCCATGGGCAGGAAGGACTGAGCTAGCAGGTGGCGGCTGTCCAGGACAGGAGGGCTGTTCTTGCAGGCCAGCTCCCCAGCAAGGCCACCAAGGCGTGTTCCCAAGTATTGCCGCACAGGCAACCCCCTGTCTGAACTACTTGAGGAATCCGAGCCTAGGCCTGCTACTTCAAACTAAAGTCAAAGTATCCAGAGCAAGGCTGCTCTGTGCCCCATGGAGAAATGCCACTGAGCAAACAAAACACGGCACAGGGCGGACTAGTCACGCTGGGATGCAGAAAGCAGGAGGGCTAGCGCGGAAGGTGGTCCGGGAAGAGATGTACACAGGCAGAGGGCAGAGGGAGGTGCCACCCTGGATGCACTGCGGGAGTATCTGCGGCTGTCTGTCCGGTGGCGGGGGCTGGCTAACAGACCCGACACTGCACACAGAATGCGCCGCCCCTTCCAGCCAGGGTGCATGGCAAGCGGCCGGCGCAGGGATCCCCTCACCACCACCTTGGAGTGACGACTTAATTTTTTCTTTAAAGGGAGAGCAGGGAGGGAATGGAGACGAAAAGACAGAAATAAAGAGGAATACATAAACGAGTTTGGTAGAGAACACACCAAAACTGAAACCACAGTGATCCAGAAAAATCTAATGCCTGGTTTCCATTTGCTTCAGCAGCCCTGTTTCCCTGGTCATCCTAATGTATTTCCTCTCGGTAGCTCATCATTTTCCAGCAGGATATTCCGTGGTGCCATTTCCCTGCTCTGCTCTCCAGTGACAGGTAGGGGCCAGCCCGCAGGTGCAGCCTGGGTTAGCACCGGTTCCATGAAAATAAACCACACCACCGAATAAATGGTTTAATTTTATTTCAAAATTGTACAAAATGGCCATAAAGGGCTATAAAAAACTTTGTCTTCAGAACACGTGGAAATTCAGAAAGAACAACAAAACAGGTATCATTCACAGTGTAATGGAAAAGCTTTCTCTGAGGCAGAAATTACAACTCTTCCTTCTTTCTCCCGAGTCTTTCGTGGTCTCCCTCTCGGAGGGTTCGAATAAAATTGGTAAATCCCAATTCCTGCAGGGAAGGGAAGGAGAGAGAAAAAGGACAAGGAGCATTAACCCCTGAGCCAGATGTGCACTCTCCCTCCCCCAGCCTCCCAGAAGCTCGTCCTGAGAGGTGGGCAGACTGCACAGTGCCAGGGTCTGCCCGGCTCCCGATGCCAGCCCTGAGAAGTGAGGACACTCCCTGCATCCTGGAGACCGCCCGGCTCCGGGGCCAGGCCTTGTGTGGTTTCTGGGAGGCTGCCCGCTGCCTCTCCCCAGTGGCTGTTTTCCTGCCTGTCTTCGGTCAGCAGTGAGCTCCGGCAGACGCTCTCCCCGACTCACCGTGCGGTCGCTGTCATATTTTTCTGCAAACTTCCCGTAGTGGTAGTAGTGGAAAGTGGGGTAGGCCTTCACGGCCTCCTGCTGACACAGGTCTTGGTTCTTGTCTTTGATGCAGTCAACAGCAGCACAGGCGATCTGGGGGCAAAGCGAGGGAGGGTCAGCACGGGCGTGCCCGGGCCGCGGCCTGGACCTCTCAACACAGAGACTGCGCGTCTGGCCCACGTCAGGGGCTCACTTTGATTTTTCTCCCCAGGAGCAGGGATGAGCTGAACCAAAGCATCACCAGCTCAAAATCCTTGAGACTGATGGTGTTTATTTTTTATTTCCAAGGCAGGTGGGTTCGGGGAATCGGCCTGGGGTGCCTCCAGACTGTCCTTTAAAATCAAGAGCATAATAACTACAAAGGACGTGACAACTTGAAAGCATTTGTAAACAGTACAGGTTCTGTGATGCTTTCTGTGAAGCTCTGTGGGATTCACTTGTTTATCAACTAGTATTTCCTGAACATCTGCTTCTCGGGGCAGTGTAGTACCAAGGGCGAGAGCAAGAGCTTTGAAGTCAAGTTTTCCAAGTGGGATCTGGGCTTGCCTGAACATTAAGACTTAAGGAAAATGATGCAGCCTCTCGGTGCCTCAAGTCCCTCAGCTGTAAAATGGGGATCATAACGACATCTAGGTTATCAGGAGGACATGAAGACTGAGTAAGAGGATTCAAGTGAGCCGGTCGGCACAGGCCTGGCACAGAATCAGTGGGCAGCAAATGTCAGCTGCTATCATGATCCCTCCTTCCGACCCCACGCACAAGCTCCGTCCCCACTAGGGACACAGCGTCTGGATGGGGGCTGGATAAAGAGACCATCCCAACATAGTGTGACGTAGGACATGATGGAGGCGGTCCAGGTGCCAAGGGCACCCAGGTGAGTGGCAAAGGCACCCTGCACGACTGGGCATCTGAGCCGAGGCCTGAAGATCGAGGAGGAGAAAGCCAGGGGAGCACATTCTAGAAACTGGGAAGGGGCTCAGCATGACGAAAGCAATCAGAGTTTCTGGTCAGAAAGAGGTTCTCAAATTGGCCATTGGCCTCTTCTTGAAAATCTAACAAATTCCATGTGCTAGGAAGCTTTTCCTCATCATTTGTTGTGCTTTCAAAATAAGAGAGTATAAAGCAGAACTTTTCTCCTGTTGGGGGTCACAAGCCAGGGGAGGAGAAGGGTCCATCGATGGCAGTCATGGAAGGGGGAAGGGCAGGTCTCACAAGCGACACTCACTGGAGCCCTGCCTGCTGTGTGCTGAGCCCGCTCTGAAGCTAGGGGACAAAGGTGACCTTGACAAAGTCCCGTCATCAGGCAACTGCCACAGAACAAATGAGATCATTTCAGATAGAGCCTGATGAATGCTTGGAAGAAATTAAAAGAGGGTGATTCAGTAAGATAATTTAAAATTGTTGAATAACCATGATTCACACAGTTCTTTGGCTGTTGGCTATTCACTCTTGGACAGAGTACCCCTTTTCCAGGTACAAGGGCCCTGCAGGTGATCAATGGCCACATTTGCTGATCACTTACCTGGTGCCCAGGTGAGCTGCAGGACTGAAGAGTGAGGCATGAAGAGTGAGGCACAGCCTCCCCGTGCCACACTCACCCTCCCCTCCCTCCCGCTTCCCTTCTGATCTTCAGCTACGTAATGTTCCATACAGCAAGATTCGGAGAGCCGAGTTTACAAACTCGCTGCACACAATCCGTATCTGGCTCTCAGTCCTGTTCTATTTGGCCCACATAGAATTTAACAAGAAAATAAACCTGAATTAGCTGCCAACATAGAAAAGGAGCCAAAAGATTTAATATAAAAATTTGGCTTTCCAGCTTCTCTTTAAAAGTCAGAAGGCTTGATGGCACTTACCCTGCCTTCCCACGGTGACAACCGGCTGGGGCAGGGAAGCAGCTGTCTCCTTCGAGCTGGCTAAGTGTGCCCCTCGCCAGCGTCTCCGTGGAGCCCAGTTCACCCACACTGCCAGGCTGGCCCCTGCAGCCTTCTGGGAACCTCAGCTCACCCTCTAGCACCTTCTGAATTATTTAGAAACACGAGGCAGATGCTCCTCTGGCTGTTTGCAAGGTTCCATTTCTCAGGGCCAGTGCTGTGGGGCCTGGCCCAGGGGACACGCACTCTTCCTTCACCTGGCCAGCGGCCGAGGGCCCTCCGAGTCCATCCCGGGCCAAGGCTGCTGCTCCTCCGCTACACTGTGAAGGTGTTAGCTGAACGTTGCTCCAGGCTGCTGCCTCCCTGCATCCACTTGAAATTATGAATTTAATTTGTGTACATGCCCTGGAGCTGTTGCAAATGTAGTGTATGGTTTTATAAATCTACTAAATTAAAAATGTGTACTTACTCTGAATCACCTAAACTAGCTGCCAGCAACATACACAGAAGGCAACTTCTAGCTGCAAAGGCCAATCCACACTCCATTTCTTCAGAAGAGGAGACAAGTGCAGCCCTCCCAAAGGAAGCAGCTTAGACTCTTTGGAAAGAAGGCAGCAGATAAACCTCTCCTGAGTTACCCTGATCTCACCTGTCTAAACGCCTGCCTCCTTACACTGAACTCAACGTTTGTGCCCATTGCCTGCAGCACAGAATGAGCACTCATGATTCTAGATTTGTTCTATGGAAGTTGGCACGAATTCCTGGGGCACGTGCTGTCAGTGCCCTGCCGTGTCCCGGCACTTGCCACAGCACCTGCAACTGTTGGCCTGAGCGCTTCCTCCCAGCCACAGGGAGCTGGACGTAAAGCCAATGACCAGATGGGAGCCGGGGACAAGCGCCCTGGCTTCCCTGACCACCGAGTGGGACAACTCTGTGGCACCTGCCCCGGGTAGGTCTCCTGTGGGCTGGAGCCTCATCTGCCTACACCACACCTGATTTGGTCTCTGCCCTTTCCTGTATCGCTTTTTCCATCCCCCAGTGCTTCCTAAGACCACCCCCCCCAAATAAATGCCCTGCACAGGAGACCCCCACGCAGAGTCTGCTTCTGGGAGAACTCAAACTCAGGACAACCCTGTTTGCTCGATTCTGACTCTGCCCCTTTCCAGCTGAGGAACTCTGAGCCAGTCCTTCAGTCTCTCTAAGACTCAGTCTCCTCATCTGCAAAATGAGGAGTGTAGTGGCACCTTGATGAGCAGCTACTGTGAGAACATGACATGATGTTTTTAGTGGAAGAAGAGCTCTCGGTAAAGATCAAATAGGTTATTGTTCCTTCATTCAGTCAACATTTACAGAGGTTTAAGGAGTCAAGACTGTGGGGAATTCAAGGCCAAATGAGGTCCCTGCCCTTGGGGAGCTTTCACTTCTGATGGGCAGTAGCCAGCTTCGGACACAGGAGGACCTATGTAACACGGCCAGATTCCAAGAGTGACGTGGGCCAATCACACAGGGATAACCTTCACGCAGCCAAGGGTAGCACGCTTGGCCACACCTTAGGCTGGGACACCTTGATACGCAGTGCGAGGCAAACCCCACCCTGCCAGCCCACCATGGGCCCTTGTCCTCCTTGCCCTTCAGTAACACCATCCGGTCCAACACTAACAGTTTGCAGTCCTTTCCCCACCAGCGTGTCAACTGATAAAGTCCCCAAGTGAGCTCCTGGAAGGGGGTGGAGGCTCCCCAGCTAAAATATGAGCTGCCACACACAGCTTTATTGATTCAGTAAAATAAATCTCTGCAGGAGCTAATATTGACTTTGGCTATGAAAATGGAAGTGAACAACCAACTGCATATTGATTGGGGAAGGAACAGGGACCAGCTTCTGGGTGGAAAAAAGACACAATTCCAGCTAAGAGGTAGCAGCGTGGGGTGTCAGGAAGAACTGGGAGTTAGGAGATCCAGTTCTGGCTGTCAATGACCTGCTGGATATGCCTACGTGGGGACACAGCTCTATGGGCCTTGAACCCTCAGGAGTAAAGGTATGTGTGTAGGGGAGCAAACAGACCAGTAGTCCCCACATACTAGCCTGTGACCAGTACTCCCAGATGGCTGGCTTCCCTGATGTTATGAGAGCTGCTCCCAGGAACCCCAGGCAGGCCAGCTGTCTTGGACAGAGAGGTTAAGAAGTACATTCCTGAAAATGGGTGAGGGTGATCCAGCTTAGAATAAAGGAAGTTGAAGGAGGGACAGAGGGAATGAACCCAAGAAAAGGCCAGCAACACTACTGGCCCAAGTTGTCACAATGGGCCAGGTGCAGTAGCTCAGGCCTGGAATCCTAGCACTTTGGGAGGCTGAGGTGGGAGGATCGCAGGAGGCCAGGAGTTCAAGATCAGCCTGGGCAACATAAGCAAGAACTCTACTTTACAAAAAATCTAAAAATTAGCCAGGCATGGTGGCGCTCGCCTGCAGTCCCAGCTACTCGGGAGGCTGGGGCAGGATCACTGGAGCCCAAAGTTCAAGACTGCTGTAAGCTATGATTGTGCCACTGTGTGTTCCAGCCTGGGTGGCAGAGTAAGACCTTACCTCTTAAAAAAAAAAAAAAAAAGACAATGAGGCAAGCAAAGGCAGGTGTTATCAGTGTCTAAGAAGAGGGGTGTCTCAAGGAAATGGGGTGCATGTGCATCGGAGGAGGGGGAACGGGGAAGAGGAGGGGCTGGCTCTGGCCCCTGCTGTTGGCCTGGCAAGCCTGGCCTCCCCTGTGCTGACGTGGGTCAGGCCTCAGTGGCCATGAGCAGAGAAATGTCAATGTGGGCCATCCCTCCAGGGTTTCCCCAGCCACCCTGGCACCCCACTGGACCATGCTCCCCGACACCATGCTCCTCAGCTCACTGGGAGAAGCACGCCCAGGCTCTGTGTATGCCACAGGGTCCCTTCCCAGATCTCCTGCAGCCTGGGGACCTGAGCAGCCAGCAGAGCAGGGTGACCACACACCTCAGCCACTCTCCTGTCCGCCCAGAGCGCCCAGCGTTCTGGGTGAGGGTGATGGAAGTTGATGAGGGGTGACTGGTATTCCAGTCCTGGGGACAGGCAGCCCAGGCTGTGCTTGTTATCCCTGGGACGCTCAGAGCAGGAGCAACCACTTGTGGTGCGCACAGGGCCCGGGTGGCACAGTGGGAGGGGTGGCGGGGGAGATGGACATGGGAAGGCCCCTCCTGCCATACTCCTCTCAGTGCAGGACAGATGGGGACAGAAGAGAAAAATGTTTCTGGTCTTTGTACTCCCTCCTGGAGGGGGTGAGGGGTGTCTCAAAGGGACAGTCGGGGTTTGTGGATAATGATGGAGGCCTTGAGTCAGGGTCACGGGATCTGGGTCTAAGTGGGAATCTGGTCCCCAATTTGTCCCCATCTCCATACATGCACCTGTCCCCACTCTGGTTTCCTCTGACTCTCTGTCCCTGTACAGCTCTCATGGGCCAGGCCTGGAGGGGACCTTCCTGGAGTGGACCGTGGGCTTCTGGGGCCTGTTAAGCGAGAGGTACCTGTGACCCGGTCTCAGGGCTGGGAAGGGCCTTCGCAGGCCCCTCCCCAGCACCCTGCCTGGTGCAGATGAGAAGGGACTCAAGGACTGGGAGGTGACCTGCCTTCCCTGAGTTCAGGGATCTGCCCCTGCCCCATGAGCCCCCTCCCACCACCACCCCAGCTGCTGGAGCTGCCTGGGGGACGCGCCTGGCGGCCCACTCTAATCCAATCTGCGGCTCGGGCTTGTTAATTTTATGCTTCATCAGTTGGCAGCTGCAGGAGCCTTTCACGTACGCAGGACGCCGCTCCACGGACGCAGCCCCGCTCCCCTCCGCTGTGGCCTCCTCCAGTTCAGTTTTGTTGGATTTTTTAATTTGTATTTTCAATTACATAAGTAATGCATGACTACAATCCTACTGCAAAAAGGTTCAAACACTAAAAGAATTAACAGATGACCCCTTTTACCATCCCTCTCCTCCAAGCAAGTGCTGATTGTGCAGCATAAATCCAGCCTGCTCTACCTTGCCTTACGAAGAAATGTCCTGTTCCCAAGGAACCCCCGCCTACAGGTCTTAGCAGAACTGCACCCATTCAGGGAAGGGGACCTGAACGGAAGAAGGAAGGTGCAGGATCTGCTGGAGGCAGGACGAGAGATGATGAGGGGTATTCTTACCTTTCGGTCATCTTTGAAGGCGTCAGCAGTGGCAGTAAAGTGCGGAACGACCTTCTTACAGTGTGGGCACCCTGCGTGAGGGGGAGAGAGAACACAGGACAGAGAGTTGCACACGCAGGGAGGAAGAAGAGCCAGGGGTGCTTTCTGGAACCCAGGAGAAGCCTTTCCATGAGTCCCAGCCCTCCCTGCCCCACTGTCAGGGTCCAGGTGCCAACCTTGCCACTCAATCCACCCCGCTCTCCCACGTCTGATACGTCATCAAGGGGCTTGGTAGGAGTCCCTGCCAAAAGCAGCAAGGAGGGTACACTCCTGCCTGGGTCAGGGGTTGGCCCCTGGGGTCTGGCTCTGCAGGTCCTTCCACAGAGGCTGCCCTCAGGATGCAGACGAGCCTGATCCAGGGAGGGGAGGGATTCTCCGAGCCTGTCACTATCTTCTCTTGCTCCAGTGACAATGGCAAATCTCTCCATTTCACGTCTGAAAGGAAATGGTGCTGGGAAACGAGGGGCGTGGGGGCTGGGGGCGACCACTCTGCCTGAGCCCCACCACTCACGCCTTCAGCTAACACCCACATTCCCAGCAAGCCCCGCCCGCCCCAGACCGTCCTCGGGCTCTACTTCCACCCTTCGCTCTGCAATCTGCCTGAACCTCGAAGCCAGAACATGGGGACAAGGTCAGGCTGAGAGGAAGACAAACCACAGAGAGTCACCAGACAGTACCCAAGTCCTCTGACACTAGAAGGCCCTCAGTGGAGAGGGCCTGTGAGCTACACTTGTGCCCTTCGTCATCTTGTCTCTTGTTCTGTGGATCACCCTGAGCCCCTGCAGCTCTGACGGCAACATCTTAGGTGCAGGGCCGGGACCTGCGTGTGGGCCACTTTCTCCTCTTGTCCCAGTGAGCCTAGGACACTGCAGGCTGCTCTGGCCCTTCCCTCAGCATGAACAGATCAGAACTCAAACCCACCTCCTCTCTCAGCCATTCCCAGACACCAGTGAACAGAACCGAGAGAGGGCAGAAGGGCCCTGGGGAGGATCTCCCCGACCATGGTGATTAATTCTGATCAGAACCAGGAGGGAGAGGCCACATGCCCGGTAGGGAGACGTGGCTCCAGCCCACAACCTTCGGACATCAGCCGGCACCCCGGCCTCCGCAGCCTCGGGAAAGCAGGCAGAGATGACACGGCGGGCATAGGAATGGCTCTGTTCTGTCTGTCTTCTCCTTTTAAAATGAGATAACAATGACTGGCATTTCAAAAGGTTTTGTGAAACCAAATTAAGGCTGAGCTACAAGTTTAATCTGAATTTAGTACTTGAGCCAGTTCCCGAGATGGGCAGGACCACCCATATGGCCTGGCTGGTGGCAGCCAGTTGGCCCAGAACAGCGTGGGGGCGATAGGAGGGGCTTTAGAGGGATTTTGCCGACATCTGACGCGGAAGGCGTGGAGGAGACCTGGGCTGGTTATGGGTTTTATCACAACTAAATGAGACAAAGTGCCCAGCACAGCCTAATTCATGGAAGAAGATGGGATGGATGATTTTTTAATGGCTTAACATGACAATCACAAGTAACACTTCACTAGTTTCACCTAACAGAGGGAAACACATCTCGAATTCATGAAAATGTCATACTAGAAAGGAATGATGTTATACCATTTTCAAAACACTTGAAGACCACAAGCCGCTGGCTAACAAGATACATCAAAGACACATGCTGCAGGCACCCACAGGCCCCTGGTTGAAAATAACCCACCCCCTTCCTCAAAATCTGGTTTCACTGCTAAGTTTTCCTTTTTAACCATTTTGCTTGTTCAAAGTATAAAGGCAGCTGGCAGCCTGGTACAAATCCCCATTACCATCAATTGAAAATATCCAGGCCCCAGATTACTGGCCTTCTGTTGCATCTGATTTTCTCATTACCCAAGAGCAAGAGCACAGCGGATGAGAAACTGGAAGGGAAGCTGTTTCAGAAAGTGCACGAAGATGTTTCCAAGAGGTGTCAGGTGGGCCAGCAGTGGCATGATTTTTCTTAATTTGGGCTTTTTTAAAAAAGGCATCACATCTGTGTAGCAGGAAACCAAAGAAGCCTCCCAGGGTGGAGAAAGAGAAGCAAAGTCTGAGGACAGGATGGAAAATTCCAATTCTAGAGAGCCAGCCGTGCTGGCCTCAGAGGGCAGTCACCATGACTGCGCCATGCAGAGTGAAGGGGACAGTGAACCCGCGGGAGGATCTGTGTGGAGACTGGGGGGGCAGGATGTGGGGGCAGACTTGGGGGGAGCAGGGATGCAGGAATAGGTTTTTGTTTTTTTACTTTGTAACAAGTATGAGACTTTACTACTGTTTGACCTTTCTGTGGTGTTCAGATTCTAGATATATATATATAACTATAAATACATATCATATAGTATATTTATACATATTAAAATAAGTTTTATTATTTTTATCATAAAAAATATATATATTTTTGTCCTTGGATAGTCTTTCTCCTTGAACCCACTGATAAAGACATATCTCCCTACACATACTGGGCCAAGATTTAGGGACAGAAAATGTGGTAAGAGAGATGAAGAAAGTCTAAGGACCAAGCCCTTTGCCCGAGGCTGAGTCACTCAGTGACACTGCCCTGAATGGGCCAGGTTTAGAGTTTTGTCGAAGTAGACGTGAGCCCCTTGGGGCCCAGTAGGGACATGCTCCTTCACCTGTATCCTGGGCCTGGGACATGGCCCAGCATAGAGCTGTTATATATTTGAGGAAGGAAGAAGAGAAGGAAGGAAGGATGGATGTTGATCTTTAGCAGTCCAGCAGGGCAGGAGTCACTAGCCCAGGGTCCCTAGCAATCCAGGAAGCTGCCTGTCCAATAGCCAGTGGGGCCTCTGAGCAGGAAGGGGCTGAAGAGAGGCGGTAGGACTGCTACATCTCTGGCCCAGAGGTCTGGAGGACAGAGGGGGCATCTCTGGGGAAAGTACCTAGTTTGGACTTTGTAAAGTCCACCCAGTGGCTGGTCAGGACTCCCACCTCTGTAGCCAGGTTTTCGTTCACTGCTGAGAACACTCACTTGCTGGACTGTGCATGTGACAGAGAGGGAAAGAGCCACCCAGGCCGTGGGAAGGGCCTGTCACTAACTTGCCACATGACCTTGGGCGAGGCTCAGCCCTCCACATTCTACTTTGCCCAGAAGGAAGATGTCAACTTCTCAAAACCCACTCAGGCTTCTAGGCACACACAAGGAACTGGGGGCACAAGCCCTGCTCTGAGGTGACAAGGCAGAAGGGGAGGGGCAGGGAGGCCGCCCCTCCCAGACACCAGAGAGCCCGGAGACTTCACGGTTACTGACACTAGAGAGGAGGGAGCCGGTGCCCACAGGGGGGCTGCTATGGCTCCAACCCAGCGAGTTTACGACTAGACGGAGCTGCCGGGCTTCTCCATAGATGCAGGTTTTATTATCCCCACTCCATTAAGCTGAGCTATAACCTGGGGGGAGAGAGAGAGAAGGGCAACAGAAGAGTGGGAAGTCTAAGAACCTTTCCTTTTAAGTATCAGTTAACAACTTCGAAATGGGAATACACAAAACCTGAGGTCACAAACACCAATGTCAGCTAACGTGTTACTTCCTCAACTTAAGCTTTGAGGAAAACAAGAATTGAGGAACGAATATGCCTGTGCCTACACCACAGCTTCTGCCCCAGGTGGCTCCAGGAAGGTCAGGGAGAGGCTTCTGCTGTGTGGCTGAGGGGTGGAGAGAAGAAGCCAGGTGACGGGCAGGCAGCACGAGAAGCCCAGGGACAGCAGGGGACTGGCCCCCACCACGAACAGAGGCAGGGGCCTTTCCGACTGCCATGAGAAAGGCTTCCCCAAAATGAGGAGACCCTGGACTTTTTTTTTTTTTTTTTTTTTTTGAGACAGAGTCTCACTTTGTTGCCCAGGCTAGAGTGAGTGCCGTGGCGTCAGCCTAGCTCACAGCAACCTCAAACTCCTGGGCTCAAGCGATCCTGCTGCCTCAGCCTCCCGAGTAGCTGGGACTACAGGCATGTGCCACCATGCCCGGCTAATTTTTTGTATATATATTTTTAGTTGGTCAATTAATTTCTTTCTATTTTTGGTAGAGACGGGGTCTCGCTCAGGCTGGTTTCGAACTCCTGACCTTGAGCGATCCACCCGCCTCGGCCTCCCAAAGTGCTAGGATTACAGGCGTGAGCCACCGCGCCCGGCCATGAGACCCTGGACTTTTAAGGACCCTTCCACCTAGAACGAGATCAGGGCACCTGGTTCACAGTAGAGATGATCCCGGATTGACCCTGCCCTGGTCCCTGGGGTGGCGTGGCCGGGCCAGGCCCTCGGTGAGCGCCGGAGCTACTTACAAGGCGCGTAGAACATGACCAAGGCATGCTTCTTCTTCTTCAGGGTGTCCCGGAAGTTGTCCCCCAGTAGATGCAGCACACTTGTCTGCTGTTCTTCCCAAGTGGGCTCTGGAGGTGGGGGGGCCTGGGGGCTGCGAGCAGTCAGGGGAGGGGGAAGCAGTCATGAGGAGAGATCTGGTGAGCAAACCCACCCCCAGCCACCCAGGGGAACATGCATGAAGAAATCACTGTATTTCCTCTAACGTTTCATTTTAAAACCTCACTTTAAACATGAACAAGTCCGTACCATCGGCAAAAATAGTCTGATTCCCTTGCAGAGCCTATTAAGGGGCCATTTTGTGAAACTGTGGAAGTTGGTCCCGTTTTAGGGCTGGGCAGTCTCTCCGGGTATGGGTCCTGTCTCCTCATTGGAGATGGAGAACCTCCTCCACCTGGCTCCCAGCCCCTCCTCCCTAACTCCTTTGGGACCCTAAGTGACCATCCATTATCTCCTTTCTAATCCCCAGCCTTCATTCTGGTGGAGAGAGCACAGGCCAACGGGGTGGGTCTAGGTTCAAATCAGGATTACTTCCCAGCTGTGTGGCCTCAGGTAAGTTACCAGACCCCATAAGTCTCCATTTCCTGTTAAATGGGGACAATGGCACCCACTTCTAAGATCTTTATAAAGAGCAGAGACGGTGCATGTCAAGCACCTAGTCCGCCCAGGAACTAATATTTACTGATGCTCTAACAAATGCCAGGTGTTAAATAAATGCTTATAACTTTTTAGACTCTACTCTGCCTCCTGCAAGTATGGATCTCCAGGGTCTTTCAATAGCCTTTGCTCCCCCGCTCCCCCTCTCCAGCCCAACTTCTTTCTCTCTCTTCTCTGAGCAGTGTGGAGAGGGGGCGCACCGAGCTGCCATGTCCTCCATATACTCTCGCCACACCTCCTGCATCACCTGGCTCCTGACCGCCAGCCTAGCACCCCACTGAGCACGGCCCTCTCTCTTCTTCCCGTTCTATTCAGACCCCCTGCAAGTCTTAAAAGACCTCACCCCTCTGCACAGCTCCAGTGATGCCTGTGGCTGAGGATAAGGATAACGTGAGCCCTGACCTCTCACCCAAGCCCACGAATTCCAGGTGTTTTTCAGGCATTTCCAGCTGGAAGTCCCACAGTCACCTTGAACCTACTGTCACATAGAACACATTACTCTTTGCTCTTCTTGCACACCTCCCAAACCAGTTTTCTTCCTGACTTCTCCATTTAGGCTAATGGCACCCTGTGCTGGTGACCATGACTGGCCCCTCCCAGCCTTCTTGTCATCCTCCTGGTCTCCTGGCTCCATGGTTGACATCATTTGCCTGACCTTGTTCTGCCCTTTCCCGGGACACTGGCTCCCCAGCTTGGCCTGCTGGCAGGCACTTCTCAGTGACCCACAGCTCAGCCATCCATGCACACACCTGGAAACACCCTCCGCTTTGCCTGATGCCATCTGCTCGCCCTTCTTCTGGGTGACAAGCCTCAGTTTCCCATCCCAGAGCCATCTGCTGTTCACGCTCCACCTGAAGGATCCCTTCCAAGAGCCCGAAAGAACTATCTGTCCCTGTGCAGGGCACTTAACCTCTCTGAATCTAAGTTTCTTCAGCAATGAAACAGACATAAAAACTCTGGCCTCAGTAGGGCTTTGAGGAGGAAATGGGGCAAGAGGTAGGAGCGCATTCTGCAAAGGCTAGGCCGTATCATCACTTATGCATGGATATTGTCAGTTAAAGCCCCAGCGGAGGCTAGAAACAGTCATAAAAACAGCTTCCTTTGTTTGAGATTTCCATATCATGCATTGTGCTAAGCACTTTTTCAACAGATAATTTAATTCTCTAGACAGGTCTATGGGGAAAGTATCGTTTCCATTTTACAGATGGGAAACTGGGCTTAGAGGGGCCAACTAGGTGGTTCAGGGTCACGATCAGAGCACAGGTCTCTCAGACTGCAGAGCCCATGCTTTTAACCCAGCGCTTCTCAGGCCCTCAGCAGCAGGGACCACACACAGGAGGACAGAGGCCTTCTGCCCAGGACTCCGGAGCACTGATCAGCAACGATCAATGCTCCCAATCCCCTTGGCTCTCTACCTACATGTCCAAGCATCGCGAGGCCCTGGCCTGACCCCACTCTACTCAGTACCTCCCAGCGAAATGGCCCTGGCACCAGAGCAAGGCTGGAGAAGCAGGTGTCAATCAGCCACCTGCTTCAGATACCAGAAGGCACCTTGTCCCTTTCGGAGGAAGATCGCCCCTCTCCTCTGGTCCCTAAAACAACAGCCTGGCTACACTTAGAATCCCTCCCCTGGTAGAAGAGCAGGACCAAGTGGGAGAAGCTGAGGCCTGGACCTCGACAGCCCACTCACCCTTGCCAGAGGCCTCTCCTGAACCTAATGGTAACTTTGCTCCCATTCCGTAAGCTGGTGTCTCTCAGAACATCATGTCTGAGGAGCCCATCCATACCCAGGACAAAATGGCGCCAGCTCTGAACACGAAGAGCTGTGCATTCCCTTTGTTTGTCCAAGGGGATGGAATAAAATGCAGATGGTGGAGCTGGGGCCAAGGAGGCTGAGAGAAAAGGGAACCCACGGCTTAGTGGAGCCAACAGAGCTGCATCCCAAGGGGCTGCCAGTGACCTGCTGCATCAGGACATGGGATTGGCATGTGAGAGGTAGCTTTAGGGAGCCAACTCTGTCTTGACTCCTGTGGGCCCTGAGCCCAGGACAGTGGGCCGTGAAGCTTGCTTCATCTCCTCCAGTGGCAGACAGCCAGCAGCTAAGAGGTGCTATTGAGATCGTAAAACTTACTTTTGCATCCACTCAATAAACTTCTTCTTTGTTCTGAGCACAGGCACTGCATATTTCTCTCCATTCTTAAAATACTTCAATGTAGGAAACTCTGAGATGTGGAATCTTTCTGCCAGGGCCTTGTTGACGGTGGCATCGACAGCTGCAAGGACACCAGAGCTCTGGGATGGGGGAAAGGCCAACCATGCATTACAGCCTCGGACGCGGTGCTGGCGGAACACAGGGGCCCAGGTGCTGCCCCCCCAACCCATCCTGGACCTGCTGGAGTTTGACTGGGGGTGGCTGGTCCTATGGGCTCCCAGTCCCAGGGAATAGCTGAACATTGGCATGTCCATCATTTCTCATTTATGGGCTGAGATGAGGCCTTTCAATCTGCCCCCTCAACTATGTTGGGCAGACTGGGGCCTTGCTAATAGCATTAGGAGAGGCAGTGGACAGAGGTCACCTGGACGGGCATGGGAACGTGGCCCCAAAGTCCTTCTGTCCCCTTGATCCCTGGCAGGCACCCCACCTGTCTGACCAAAACCTGTCTACTTGGGGACATGGAGGTACCACAGGCCTCTGTGGACCGGGAGAGCTGCTGCAGGGCTTGCAGGGGCAGTTGTCGTAATGATTCCCTGTGTCAGTGAGTCTTTAAAAGAGCATGGTGCGGGGTCGGGAAAGGAAGCTTACATCCGCTTCTCCATGGAGAACTTCCGCTGCCTTCTCAAACTCTGGCTTCATTTTCTTGCAGTGTCCACACCCTGTGGGGAGAGAGCGAGAGAGATCGTCCCTGTGGCACGCAGCCCCAGGGGTGTCCTGCACCACTCTGTAAGGACTCCCAGACACCAGGCTACCTGGGAGGAAAGGAGGATATTCGCCTGCTCAAGAGAGATCTTTTCCCTAATCCACCTGGAGTAGGCTGGGGTTGGAGAAAGGTACTCAAGAGACAAAAATGAAATAACCACATAAACAACACTGGCGCCATGTACACAGCCCTGGCGTGCCAGGTACTAACCAGTGCTTTATATCCGTACAACAGCCCCTGGAGGTAGGAACTGACATTATCTCCATACTACAGATGAGCAAACTGAGGCACCAGGAGGGTGGATGACAGCCCAAGGCTACACACACAGCCACAGGTCACAGAGCTGGGCTAAAGACCCAAGCAACGTGGCTGGGGGCTGGGCCGCAGGCAGCACGTTGCTATCACCATCATCTTCTCTGGGAAGAAGGGAGTCTGGGGCCTTGAGTTAGAAATAAAATTCATAGAAGCAAAAGTATAGATAAAAATTAAGTTCCAGTTGTCCCCACAGGATATAATAGAGTTTGACTTGTTTCCAAATAAATGGCATTTTTTTGGGATAAAGACTGCTTTGCCCTTTCCTTTACATGAATGCAATAAGATGTCACAAATAATAAAATTTGATACATTAAAAAGAAAACAAGCACTCTGTGTAGATGACGGACATCCGCATTTGTAAATTATTTTCATTTATTAGAAAGCACTTTCTGGCTTGTGATGTTGGAGGGCTGGGAGGCGAGAGGTCCCTACTGGCTCAGGCTGGAGGCAAGGTGAGCGCCTGGCTGTGCGGGGACCACACATACACCAGGCTCAGCAGGTGACAGGACGTGACTCAACCTCCTGGGGGAGTGCCACTGTGTGGGAGCAAGAGCACTGCCTTGCTCTTCTTCTACGATCTCGATCATTAGGAAAAGGAAAGACAAGGAGAAAGGAAGACAGAAAGTCACACACCAGCATTATCAGAGGAGAACTCCCACGGGGCCTCCCATGCCCTCTGAGCCACAGATCAGCTTTCTCGCCTCCATCTGAGCCCTCGGCCAGGATGAAAATTCCTGTCTCCTTCCAAGTTGTTCCTGCAGAGCTCAGCTTCAGGTGACAGGAACATATCTCTTTCTTAATCTCTCCACTCATTCCTGCCTGTACCTGGCTGCCTCAGCCCATCTTCATCTGGTCTCCCCCAGGGTCAAGGGGCTCCAGAGCAGCTACTCCCCATTTAATGATAACATAAAATCTAACTGATCGTTGAGCTGCCAGGCAGTGCTGCCATGCCCCTCCTCTGGACAGAGCACTGGGGACATGACTCAGTCAGGGACACTGACCCTGGTGGACTGCAGCTCAGGGAGCAGCTACAACTCTCAGCTGCACCAACATGCTGGTTCTTCCCAAATGGGCCCAAGGAAGAGGGGCACCGCTAACCCTCAACTCAGAGGCTCCACAATGCCCAGCGGCAGCAGGGGGAGAAAGTGCTGAGCATGTGGGCACTCCTGCTGCCACCATGTGGGGGCTCCCTGCTCCTGCTGGGCTATAATGCAGCAGAATGGGGAGAGGCGGTTTCAGCCCTTGGGATCTCCCCGCCTGGTGACAGAAAGCACTGTGGTCCTGGGTCCACAGCGGGACGTGGTACACACACGATGCCTTCAAGAGGTGAAGCAGGGAAGGGACACTCCTCTGTACCCTGCCCCCAGGGAGCTGGCAGCTCCTTCCTGGGACCCTTGGACATGCCGCACACGCACTTTACACTCATCATGCTGGGTGCCAGGTTCCAGACTGAGACTCCTTAAAGGCGGGGCCTGGAGATTTTTTTACCTGGTACCTCCACAGGAACAAAAGGCCTATCATTTAATAGATGCACAATAAATATTTGTTGGTCAGCAATGAAAAGAACAGACCTACTTAAATAATTAGTACACAATGACTAGGGAGCCCAGGGGTTTGAGAAGACCTCCTGGACGAGACGGATGAAAGGACACATGGCAAGTTAGTAAGAGACGAGGGACAGAGGGCCCAGTCAGGAGGACAGCAGCCTTAGAGGAGTGAGGACGTCCCTGCGCCTCCTCAGCACTGTGGAATTCTGCTGCCTGGCTGGGCAAGGCTCCCCTGGGACCACTGAGCTCCTGGCCCCGGGGTGGGGAGGGCAGCCGGCTGTGCCTGGCCCAGCTGCCCACAGCAGAGGTTTCTCAGCAGCCCCATGCCAGGTGTCTTTGAGATCACGAGCCCAGTGTAAACCCTCTATCCAGGAAAACGTACCCAGGGTTACAGACGACTCTGGGAGCTCAAGGTCTGACTAGAGCCCACTCGGGACCTCTAACCCTGAGGTGTCAAGGTCATCATTATTTTGAACTGTGAGAACATTATTTTCTAGAAATGAACATTCAGCACCATCACAACCCATTTGTCACTTTCTACACAATCAGGTTACAAAAGGCTGTTTTGGTGAGTCGGCTGTTTCTTTTCCCCACAGGCCCATTTAACGAATGTACGTGAAGCACACGGAGCACGTGGTGCTGTTCCCGCCTCACCGAGCTGCCCCCACGGAAACCGGCAGCCCAGCTGGGGACGCCAAGCAGCCTCTCCTTCCCGGCAGGGGCCACCAGCTCAGCAACCCCAGGAAGGAGAGGGGTCGGGGAGAGCCAGGCAGGACCTCTCGGTTCACTGACACTCTGACACTCGAGGCTTTAATGAAATCTTCTCCTCCCCTCCCCCCTGCTGGCCCATCTGTAGCCCACCATGCTCTCGTCCAATAGCCTGTTTTATTTCTTAGTTGTACTAAAAGGAGCTGGGGTAATCTGCTCACTTGTTCCTTGCCCGTCCCCTCCACTGGGACGTAGGCTCTGCCCAGCTCACCACCAGGGCCCTGACGCTGACAGCCGTGCTCCACACACTTTCTGAATGAATTAACCTTGGGACTAGATCGTTCAGGTTTATATTTGTGCGCAAAAGGTTTAACAGGACTAAATTCTTTATGGGCTAGGGTCATGGCTTATACCCGAATAGTTGCTAATTTGACTAAACACCTGTAATTAGTGCCCAGCCAGGTACTGTGCACACCCCTCCTCCCCCTCCCATTTACCCACTTCCCCTGCTCTTTACTAGTTCTGGAAATGTCCGGAGAAATCCTCAACACCGAAAGATGTTGTTCTGAAGTTTCCCATATATACTCTAGCGTTTCTCTTGATATCCTTAAAGTTTCCCATTCTGGCATCAATTCCCTGTCTCCCTCAATAAGACACTGAGGCCAAGCAATAAACTTCTGCAAACAGAGTTTAGGATGAGGAGCCAGGCCAGGCCCAGAGGAGGAAGAAGGTCTGGCTGAGCAAACATCTCCCTCCTGACACCCGCCTGTCCTGGGAGCTGGGGCTGATGGACAGAGCCGGTGTGACTGAGCCCAGCCTCCTGGGCCTAGCCTTCAGGATGTCCCTGGCTGTGTGGGCAGTGAGATAGCCGGAGGATGGCTCTGGCCCACTGCATTTAGTGTCCTGATCGTGATTTGATATGCTATTAAGTTTTACTGCCAGACTTCCTCGTTGGGTTTTTATCATCTGTGTAAGTGCACTTACTCTCACTTTCGTGATCTGGCATAGAGGTCCACGCATCAACTCCTCCACCTCACTCTTTCTGGCTGTGGGAATGTTGGCCTCCTGTCAATTCCAAACCCTCAGATTCCTCTGGATTTCATTAAATTCAATTATACTTATGATTTCATTACAGTCCTGAGGTTAATTCATTATGGGGCTTTCCTGGATGCTGGAACTAGAATTTTCCAGGGAACCACATTCACCTGTAAAGCTCCCTGGTAGGCAGGGTACCACCTTAGTACCCAGGACTCTAGGTGAGCCTGGTTCCTGCCTTGCCTGGAACGTGGCTGGGGGCAAGCCAGGAAGGATGGGTTTCCTACAAATGCTAGCAAAAACATGGATGTCTTCACACACAGACTCAGGGCTCTTTCAAGGCTTCCAGCTGTATATGCACCAAAGCGGGCTCACTGACAGTCTAAGGCATATTGGGGCATTCTCACACACTGATGGATTCTCTATTCATCACACAGCCCCTCTTCTTGTGCAAAGAGAGTATGTTTTTTTCCTTTATGTGAATGCAAAATGTAGATAACAAGCTTTTAAAATTTTATTTCCAGGCCTCTATCCAAAGGAAATAATCTGACATGGGGACAAATATTTATGCATGAAAATGTTCTCTGCAGCATGATTTATAATGGGAAATTCAGTAAACAACTCAGACATTCAGTATTATGATGCTGGTTAAGTAATTTATGGTGCCATTATACAACGGAATATTATGTGACCACAAAAAGCGTGTACAAAAAGCATTTTTAATAACGTATGAAAATATTTACAAAATAATGTTAAGGGGAAAATATAAAGAAAAAATGTACAGAGAAAAAAGACAAATAAAATTAAATCCCTTCTTCCTACCTGGTACAACAAGCAAATGAAAAATCCAGATAAATTAAAGAAATGAAAAAATTAAAATATTACAACAAAATAGAGGGCACTATTTGTATACCCTAGGCGTGGATTTCCCAAGCAACTCATGAATCCCAGAGGTCAGGATGGAGGAGGCAGACTTACAGAACGGCTCAGTGGTCAGGCTGTAGCTGCCAGCACTGCCCAAGTTTGAATCCCGGATTACTGTTTTGGCTGTGTGAACTATGGCAAGTTTCCTTGACCTCTCGGTGCCTCCCTTTTCTTACCTATATAATGGGCATAATCATACCAACTTCACAGGATTTGTGGTGAAGATTATAGATGGAAAGTGCCTAGAACAATGCCTGATTCATAGTAAATGCTCACTAAATATTATAGCTATTCTTCAGCTACAAAATATGGAAAGCTTTGTACAATGAAAAGTACCATAAACAAAGTTAAAGCAAGCAACAGACTAACAGAGAGAACATGGAACACAGCCATAATTGTAGAGTTCTAGGTCAAGAAGAAAAAGACA